CTATCGTCCACGTGCAGCTTCTGGCTCATTTACATTTGACTATCCCCAGAGCCCTGCTGACACAATGGGCTAAGCACTCAGGCTGCTAACCTAAAGGGCGGTGGTTGGAATCCACCCAGCAGCTCCACAGGAGAAAGACCTGGTGATCTGCCTCCATAAAGATTCCAAAAACCAAACCCACTGCTGTCCAGTCGATTCCGACTCATAGACCCGATAGGTCAGGGTAGAACTGGCCCATAGGGTTTCCAAGGCTGTAATCTTTACAGAAGCAAAGTGCCATATCTTTCTCCTGCAGAGTTGCTGGTGGGTTCCAACAGCCCTATGGGGCAGTTCTACTCTGTCACATGGGTAGCTGTGAGGCGGAATCCAAGGCACCCAACAACAACAACCCCGAAACAGCAGCATATAGCCTGGTGCATAGGTACAAACAATCATGGAGTCTGGTGGTTAAGAGCTACGGCTGCTAACCAAAAGGTCGGCAGTTCAAATCCACCCGCTGCTCCTTAGAAACCCAGTGGGGCAGTTTTTCTGTCATATAGGGTCGCTATGAGTCAGAATGGACTCAGAGGGAACGTCTCTGGTTTTTTCACAATCGACCCGACCGCAGAAGGTTTTGGTTTCGGTGGTGCAAACAGTTAATGTGCCTAGCAGAGGTTTGAGTCCACCCAGAGGTGCCCCGAAGAAAAGCCTGGCAATCTACTTCTATAAAATCAGGCAGGGAAAACCCTATGAAGCAGAGTTCTACTTTGACACATGGTGTCGCCATGACTTGGAATCGACTCTACCACAACTGGCTTGATGTGGTTCTGTTCCACGTCTTACCTTCTACTTAGAGTTAGCAGTTCTACCTGAGCTCCACTAGACGGCAGAACGCACGCATAAAGTACAGGAATCATATGGTTCCTTTTAAAAAAACTGAAGGAAATAGAACAAGTATGAAAGCACTTGAACTACAATCCCAGCATGCATTATTAAGCACCCGAGTTGCTTCTGCGCACACGTCTCAAGTTCGTTGCTCGTGCAGAAATCTGCAGGACGTCTTCCACTCACTGCTCTGAAGTAAGATTGATACTTTTTAAACGCAACTTTTCGCTGGGGAGAGAGAAGGGTTAATTTTTAGATGTTGCTTTGTTCTTCAGGAGCCATGCGCAGTGGTTGAGAGCTAACCAAAAGGTTGACAGTTCGAATCTACCAGCTGCTGGGTGAAAACCATGTGGGGCAGTTCCACTCTATCCTATAGGGTCGCTATGAGTTGGAATCAAGGCAACGGGATTGGTTGGGGATTTTTTTGTTGTTTTTCTTCACGTTGTCTATTTCAGAATTCATCTGAGCAGTTAGTTCAGGACAAAAGTGGGTTTTTAACAAGTTTGAAGCAGGACTTCAACCCGTAACTTTTCCCGTTCTAGTTAGCATTCCAGTTCACCCACAGTTTTAAAAATTCGAGACCTTTCTTGTGTCTCCTCGTGGGCCATGACTGAGCTGGGCTGAACCGGTTAGAAGCCCTGGTTTGAAGCTGGTTTACAAGTTTTTCAAAGTAGCCAAAAAAAGAGGATTGTAGTGTTTTAAGTGGACTTTTTTTTTCTTATCTGGTGAGAATATTTAGATTTCCTGATAATGCTCAAATTGTGTTTCTGCTTATGAAAAGTTGACATTTTGATTACAATATTGAGAGTAAGAAGGCCAACACGTGCAGTTTCCACATTGGATTTTGCACTCATTTTCCCAAAGAAATGCTTTTTCGTTTGAGAGGGCATTTTATCTAACATGAAGGCTTTGGCCCCAAAATCTGCTTGCAGAAAGATGAGGAGGCCGGCCAGGGAGAGGTTTTCAGAGTGAGCTGAGAAGCTGGCTGCTCTGTGCTTCAGCAGCTGTTCAGTAAATGCTTCTCGGGATGTCAGAGGTTTCCTAGGAAAATGCTTGGCCATGAGTGTTCACGGTGCCATTGCACCAAAAGACACTGAGGGCCATGGCGTAGAAGAACAGCTTTTTAAATTACACCATGCCCAGGGTCAGCGAAGGGTAAAGATTCGGGGAGTCTTTTACCATCGAAAGGAGCCCTGGTGGCGCAGTGGTTAAAACGCTCTGCTGCCAACCAAAAGGTGGGCAGTTGGAACCCACCAGCTGCTCTGTGGGAGGAAGACGTGGCAGTCTGTTCCCATAAAGATTACAGCCTTGGAAACCCTATAGGGCAGTTCTACTCTGCCCTGTAGGGTCGCTATGAGTTAGAATCAACTCCACGGCAGTGGGGTTTACTGTCTAAAGTATATATTGTATATATCTCTTAGCTCTTTCCATGTTTAGAGTGAAAATTTATCACTCATGTAAGGAAAAAAAAAAGTAAAAGTTAATTGAATCAGAGTAGGCCAGGCACTGCAAAATCCCGGCTTCTCCATTGTGTAACAAATGCAGACAAAATTGTAGAGCCTCAGTAAGCTGTAAACTGATCTCTGGAACCAGTTCTTATAAGGTAGCTGCTTTACCTGGTCCTCCAAGACGGAATTAAACATGCATACTTTTTATTAAGGGAAATGTCTGTGATAGAAACTGAGGAGGGGACTGGGAAAGTCTGGGCGAGCCCACAGGTCAAGCTACAAGTCTGACCCCAAGGGAGGGAGACAGGGAAGCCAGGTTGGGTGGAAGCATCCTAGAGCGCTGTGTAGTCTAAGGAAGGTTCAGCAAGAGGAGGTCAGCCACCAGAGAGGAGCCCTGACTCCTAGGAATGGGGCTCCTTAGTATCCGTGCAGCACTCAGGTACTGGCTGGGAACAGCCCATGGGAAGCTGGGCCCTTGGCCAATTGTTGTTGTTGTTAGATGCCGTCGAGTTGGTTCCAATGCATAACGACCCGGAGTACAACAGAAGGAAACACTTCTCGGTCCTGCGCCATCCTCACAGTCATCGCTGTGTTTGAGCCCGTTGGCCATTTAGGCCTCCTGTAGTTGCAGGTCTGTGAGACACAGGCTCATGGCCGCCGCAGTGGTGATTTAGAGAGGCCTGCTGGGAATGCCAGTACCCGGAGAGGAACCCAGGAGGCACGTGGTCTTCTCTTGGACCTGTAATCAGGAGGCCTCGGTTTGAATTCAGGTCTACTGTCTCATAGCTGTGAAACACTAGGCAAACCATATAATCTCTTTGAACTTAGCCCCATCGGTGTCCACGCCCTGTCTCTTATCTGTTTAACAACCCTCTCATCCACCTCTTCTCTCCATCCCCACTATGTCACTGCAAGCCCTCACCAGCCCCTGCAACAACCTCCTAACTGAACTCGCTACTCCTGCCTGGTCACTCCGTCTCCAGGGCTGTCTTTGGAAAACCCGTGTCTGTTCATGTCCCTCTCTTTCCGTAAATCCCTCAGTGCCCGTTGCTTATAGGAGTTAGTATAGCACTTTAGCATGCAAAGCTTGAACAAAAGTGTGAAGGCTTGATAGGAAAGCGCATATTGAGTAACAGTCAAAAAAAAAAAAAAAAGCAAAACTAACTTTTGCTGAAGATCAAAAAGAAAGAACTGAGATTATATGAGCCCTCTAGGCTAGGGTAGCAACTTGTACTTCATCAGGCAGGTAAGTGAGCGGAGTGATTGTCTAGGTTGTTTGTGCACATACTCTAAGTGGTTTCACTCAGCACCCATCCAACTCACTTTCCCCCACCTTTCACTTCATAAAGGCTGGAAAGCAAAAACTGTCAAATTCCTAGCCTCCTTGGCTGCAAGCAGTGGCCAAGTAACACAGATCTGGCCAAAGGAATTTAGGCTGGAATTTCAGAGGAGGACTTCCTTCTTGAGTAGAAAGGCAAGACTTCTCTAAAGGGTTTTGCTCCTCCCCTTCTTTTACCCTGGAATGTAGATATGATGGCTGGAGACATAGCAGCCATCTTGTGCGGTGGTATGAGGTCAGAGGGCATGTATTAAGGGCAGAAGAGGGCAATAGAGCGAAGCTGGTTCCTTGAAGACAGCCTCATTTGATCATCATTTGACCCGTTACCACCCGTGGCCTCATCAGCAGTCATTCCTCTTCTCTGTGATCTACAGTCCAAGCAGGCATTGGTCAAATATCTAAGTTTCCCAGGTCACGGTTCCTCAATCCTCTCCTTAAACATTACTGAGTGTGCCTGTTGAAATGTTACTTACTGTGTGCCCTAACTTTAAAAGAGAAGCAGCAGCACTGTGGGGTGGAGTGTTCACATAACAAGAGTCAGGAGGGCTGAGTTTCCTTCTGCCTCTGCCCTTTACTGGTTCTTTGAGTTCTGAACCATCAGATCAGCTTCCTCATCTGTAAAATGGGGGTATTGAACACAATTTGATTTTGTTCAGTGGCTTTCTGAGGCTAGCCCTGAAATCTTTTAAAAGCACAAGGGAAAGCCATACACTATTAATAGTGCAAACCTCCCCAAAATCTTCCAGGAGAGACAGAGAGAAGCAGTCCCGAGTTTTAAGGACACAAACAATACAGTAACAGTGTGTGCAGGGGCGGTGGGGAGGAGGGTGGTGATGGCAGTGAGGGAAAGGGTTTCACCCCTGCAGCCTCAGCATCAGAGGCCATGGTCGCTGGGTACTGAAGGAACCAAAAAGAGGGTTAAAGTCCAATGTCTGTGTATCGCAAGTTATCACCTCATTGATTGGTGCAAACAGTTAATGTGACTAGCAGAGGTTTGAGTCCACCCACAGGTGCCCCGAAGAAAGGCCTGGCGATCTACTTCTATAAAATCAGCCAGGGAAAACCCTATGAAGCAGAGTTCTACTTTGACACACATGGGGTCGCCATGACTTGGAATCGACTCTACCACAACTGACTTGATGTGGTTCGGTTCCATGTCTTACCTTCTACTTAGAGTTAGCAGTTCTACCTGAGCTCCACTAGATGGCAGAACGCAGGCAAAGTACAGGAATCATATGGTTCCTTTTAAAAAAACTGAAGGAAATGGAACAAGTATGAAGGCACTTGAACTACAATCCCAGCATGCACTATTAAGCACCCAAGTTGCTGCTGCACAAAGGTCTCAAGTTTGTTGCTTGTGCAGGAATCTGCAGGACGTCTTCCACTCACTGCTCTGAAGTAAGATTGATACTTTTTAAATGAAACGTTTAGCTGGGGAGAGAGAAGGGTTAATTTTTAGATGTTGCTTTGTTCTTCACGAGCCATGCGCAGTGGTTGAGAGTTAACCAAAAGCCTGACAGTTCGAATCTACCAGCTGCTGGGTGAAAACCCTGTGGGGCAGTTCCACTCTGTCCTATAGGGTCGCTATGAGTTGGAATCAAGGCAACGGGATTGGTTGGGGATTTTTTGTTGTTTTTCTTCACGTTGTCTATTTCAGAATTCATCTGAGCAGTTAGTTCAGGACAAAAGTGGGTTTTTAACAAGTTTGAAGCAGGACTTCAACCCGTAACTTTTCCCATTCTAGTTAGCATTCCAGTTCACCCACAGTTTTAAAAATTCGAGACCTTTCTTGTGTCTCCTCGTGGGCCATGACTGAGCTGGGCTGAACCGGTTAGAAGCCCTGGTTTGAAGCTGGTTTACAAGTTTTTCAAAGTAGCCAAAAAAAAGAGGATTTTAGTGTTTTAAGTGGACATTTTTTTTCTTGTCTGGTGAAAATATTTAGATTTCCTGATAATGCTCAGATTGTGTCTCTGCTTATGAAAAGTTGACATTTTGATTACAGTATTTAGAGTAAGAAAGGTCTATACCAGCTTGGTCTCTTGGCACAGCTTTGCTAGGTGTCTCTTTAGAGTCTGCTTAGCCTGCTCTACTTTGCCACTGTACTGGGGTCTCCAGGCTGTGTGTAACTTCCGATTAATGTCCAGGGTGGGTGCCACCGATTGCACCACCAAGGTCACAAAAAGGGACTTGTTGTTGCTGCCAGTGGAGACAGGTAGCCTGAAATGAGGAATGATTTCGTTCAGGAGGTGTTTCACAACTTCAGTGGCCTTTTCAATAATGCAAGGAAAAGCTTCAACCCAGTTAGTAAAGGTGTTGATAAAAACTAATAGGTATTTTTAATCCTCGGGTGCTCGAAGCATCTCAGTAAAATCCACCCCAGTTTTCTCAAGGCATTGCCCCAGTTCTCTGAACCCCTGGAAGCACTTCAGCAGTGTTCTTGGGATTTTTTTTTTTTTTTTTTTGCACAGGTGGAGCAGCTCTTTACCACTGCCAAAATAGTGATGTAGACCTTTGGTCCAATTAAATGTCTCTTACCCCAGTCATATAATCCATTGGTCCACAATGGGTGGACTGGTGGGCTCTCTATAGGGCAGGGTGCATGAGTTTTGGTGGAATGAAATTCTTCCAGGGGGGGTGTACACCCATCTATCTTTGTTTAGAGTGGCCCTTCCCAGGTCTTGGCAATGTCTTTATCTTGTTGGGAATAGTCCAGGTGGAGGCCAGGTGACGGTAACTCTAAATGGGGAATTAGTGGGGCTACTGTGACAGGTTTCTGTTGGATTGCAGCTTTCTTTGCTGCTGCATCTGTTTTATAATTACTGTTGGCCACCATGGTGTCCCCTTTCTGATGCTCTTTGCAGTGTAGTACTGCTACTTGGGTGGGTAAGAAAACTCTTGTGAGAGTTGTAAGATCTCTTGAGAATATTTAATCTCCTTACCTCCTGCCGTTAGGAGCCCTCTTTCCTTCCAAATTGCCTTGTATGCATGCAATACCTCAAATATGTACTTGGAATTAGTATAAATAGTTGCTCGCTTACCTTTGGCGATTCTAAGGGCCTGCAGCATTGCAAAGAACTTGGCCTTCTGGGTGAAGGTATCTGGGGGAAATGTGCTAACCTCTAGAACCGCCTCTAAAGTGACTACCGCATATCCTGCTTTTCTTTTTCCTTGTTCCGTGTAACTGTTTCCATCAGTGAACGGGTCAAGGCTGCGACTGGCAATGAGTAGGTCGTCCACATATTGGAGGAGGACATCCTTGGTTACGGTCAGTTATCTCAGTTCTTGGGCCAAAGCTGATCCAAAAAGAGTAGGACTGTTTTTAAAGTCCTGTGGGAGGACTTGCTAACACAGCTGCTGTGTTTGTCCTGTTCCTGGCTCCTCCCTCTCAAAGGCAAAGATTTCTTGACTTTTTTCCTCCACTTGGATACAAAAGAAGCATCTTTCAGGTCTAGCGCAGTGAACCTGGAAAAGGTGGCAACAAGGTCCATAGCAGAGTATTTGGGTTGGGGACGACAGGGTGGACTGTGACGGTTACCTGGTTGACAGCTCGCAGATCTTGAATGAATCGGTATTCTCTGTTTTTCTTCTTCACTGGCACGATGAGGGTGTTGAACTGTGACTGACACACTCTGAACAGTCCATGTTTCAGGTGTCTGGGGATGATTTCGCCCAGTGCCTATCGGGCTTCAGCTTGGATGGGATACTGCTTAAGCCTTCGGGGCACTATATCAGGTAACAATTCAATGACAACAGGAGGGACATTTTTTGCTTTCCTTGGTATTCTGTTGGCCCACACCTATGGCACTACTGTATCTCTGGTATCTGGGCCAACTGTAGTGTTCTTCTTCCCCATAGTTAGTTGGCAGCCCAGTAGTGAGGACCATTTGTAACTGCCACCTATTTTTCGTAAAGGGAGGAGTGTGTTAAAGATTTTTCTTGTATAAAGCAATTTAGAGATTGTAGGAGGGGAGGGTGCTCTTTTTTTCTGATACTCACACAACAGACACTGTCGGCCTTATCGGAGTAGCTTGCTATTTGGGGGGATGGGTGGTTCAGAGGTGAGTGGGTCGCTCCGGTATTTACCATAAACTTTACAGGTTCTTCTTCCACTTTCATTATGACTAGAGGCTCAGGAGGAGGACTTGCCTCCACTCCCTTCTCAGTCTGACTTAGGTTTTTCTGGTATAACTGGCCACTGGGTGTTCTTAAGTGGGGTTCACCAACATGGCTGGTTTCTGGAACCAAGCGATAACTCCTGCCCTGCTTGCCAGAAATGTTGCCCGGTGAGAACCTCAGGTTTTACTCAGTGTGACTTGTTACAGCCAAGAAACAAGAGGCCTAGGTGGGAGATGAGGAAGGTGAATTTATTTCATTGTACAAGGAAAGGAGCAATCGGGGCTGCTGCCTCCAAAACTGCTCCCAGGCAGAGGGGGGAGGTGGGCTTTTATAGAGAGGAAACAAGGAAACGCAAATTCATCATGAATATTCAGGATTGACCTTCACACAGGAGCTCAGAGCTTGGGGATGTGTGAGCATTTTCTTTAGACAAGGGTTCGATGCCCCAGGATGGAGGAAGAGGTTGATTTTCTTTCATTAGGATGTTAAGTCTCCACCCAGAGGCGAGTTGAGGTCATCTGTGGCCTGTTCTGTGTTATCTCCTCAAGGACAATTTCAGAAGAAAGTGCAGTTTATTCTGCTGGGTGTAAGAAGATAAGCCAGAGCAGGTGTCTCTTAGAAGGGTTGGGCTACCTCAACAGCAGCGAGGAGTCAGCAGAAACGCCTTCCCCCCTCTTGTCTGGCTGCCACAGTCAGGCGCCTTTCATACTTGTGGTGCCTGGGAATTCATTCCGCAGCTCATCCAGCGCCCCCTTGGACTTCTGCCAGAGGCCACGTGCCCCCCTCTGATACTCCCCTATCTACGCTTATGGCTTTCAGGTGTCTTTGTTGTTGTTGTTAGCACTGCTAGGGGTTGAGTGTTTCTTCCTGATTTTTATTTAAGGTTTCAAATCAGCCGAAAGTGTGGCTTTGTGCACTAGATGAACGCCCATCAGCTCCTACTGACTGGAGAATGTAACCACCTGCTCCAAGCGCAGTTTCAGGCCACGGCTTCTTTACTTACCTGGCATCAGCTTGCTAATCTCACTCTTCTCTCACCCTCACCTCTGCTGTGATTTGTTGCCCTAAAAAATTAATAGCAGGAAGCAGCCCTTTCCTTTAGCCCCCATCAAGAAATCGACAGCACCAGCTTTTGGCAGGGCGGATACCTTAACCAGGTGAGCCTCTGTTCTCAGTGAAAGACTAAAACCCCTTCTCCCCACCCCTTCTCTGTAATGGGGTCTCCGCCTGACAGTTATTGGGGCTACACTGTACTTTCATGACATTCTGGTTTACGCTTTCTCAGAAGGTCAGGAATGAAACATTTCAGTTCAGCAAATACTTGTGTGTCTTCTCCGTGCCGAGCGCTTATGAGGACAAGAGATACAAATATGAATTAAATACAGTTTCTACCGTTGAGTAGCTCAAAATCCAATGCATCAGAATATACCTAAACAGGTGATAAGGTACTGGGTGATTCATGCTACACTAATGATGTAAAGTGAGTAATTCACATTATATCTTTTTCTAGCTTATATTAAGGTCTTCAGAATTTTGGCTCAGTTGACTATATTTTTACCATTTTTGCAGGATTTCTATGGAAAAAAGAAAATACCACCAGACCAGTTGCCGTAGAGTCAACCTAGATTCATGGCAACCCCATGTGTACAGAGTAGAAATATTCCATAAAGTTTTCATGGCTGTGACCTTTTGGAAGCAAATCGCCAGGCCTTTCCCTGATAACACCTCTGGGTGGGTTTAAACTGCCAACTTTTCGGTTAGTACTCAAAGAGCTTAAAGACTTGCACCATCCCAGGGATTCCTGATCTTCTACAGAAGACATTACAGAATAAGCGGAAATGAGTCGATGCCCTAGGTCTAAGTCCAGGGCCCTGCACCTAAGTTGCCGTGCTGGATGTGGAAGTTTCGCACTCGTATTAGTTGACACCTGCTTCTATTGTGCCTTCTTCTCCAGCAGAAGGTAGAAAGCAACAAACATTTCCCAGACTCCCTTTCAGCTAGAGTTCTGGATGCAAAATTAGGGTCTGGCTAGTAGCTGCATTGCATGAGATTTTGAAGATGGGGTGAGGTAGAGGCCACCTTCTTGCTGTTTGTGGCTGTTTTCTGCAGGCAAGGAAGGTCGAGGAGATGCCAGCGTCCAGTCTCCGGCACTGTGGCTGTTAGGAGGCCCTTACAGCAGTGGTGACGGCCAGCCTCAGCATTGCAGTGTTGGAGCACCAGCTGGATGGCTGTTAAGGGAGGTGGTGAGCACATTCTGTGTTCACTGTCCAGGTATCTTCCAG